GATGAAAAGTACAAGACTGCACAATGTCAGACACAATCTTCAGTTGTCTGCATGAAAGTTGGACCCATCTATCTGCCCTAACCACCAACTTCCTAGTGTTTTTAAACTGTTCAATTTCAAGAGACACTCAATACTAGCTTCTTAATCCACACTCCAGCCCAGACTGGCAATAATACACCATTTTGTCGTTTGCCAACCTTCATAAAACACAAAGAAGAAGAACACAAAGAAGAACACAGAAGGTCATTGGGCTGCAACACAACAAACACTGCCATGTCACAATTTTATAGCCATTATAGTAAGATTACTACACTTTACACTGTGGACCAACATAGATTTTGTAGTCTACATTTTTCTTGTTAGACTGGGCTGTATCATGGGTCATGAGGTCCAGTCACCAGAACGCAATGGAGCCAGATTCCTCCCTCATGGATAAAAAATAAAACATACAGTATATATGACTTATACTTCTGTATATAGTTGACCATAGTTTTGCTTCTTAAAGAGGAAACACTACAGGGAGCTTTCTGCCCTTTTGCCCAGAAATCATGACAAACACACATCTGTTTCTGTGACCCTGACTGGACAGAGGAGAGAAATGACTGTGGGAGCATGAACTTCCTGTCTTGATAGATGAGAAAATACAGACTGTAAATAAACAAACACAAGTATGCTTCTGGAACCATGCACTCACATATGCACATCTGAACTTAAATTACAACTTTAAAACTATATACACAATATCTGGTTCATGTCTGCTATTATAGTCTGGTGCTGTTTATTATGCTTGATGTTCCCAGATTCCTCTTTAAGAACTACAGCTCTAGAATGAATTACAGCTTCTTACATTGTTTCATATTAATTCATATAGAACTGTTTGGCAAACTGCCTTAAAAATGCATTGATCTCATTCTGTTTCACTTGCAGAGACATGTGGAGGAGCCTAACACTCTCACTGGTAGTTGCACTGGTGCTAGGCACAGAGGTGAGTACAGCTGTCTGTCTCCAGATGCCTAGTCTTCTTCTTTTCATACATTAAATGTGAGAAGTACTGTCTAATGTAATGTAATATATTATTTGAGTCTGACAAGACAAAGAGAAACCAGACTGAGAGGAGGAGCATGTGCATTGACTTAATCATATACCTTTGCAGACAAATTTACCAATTAATATCAAGTAATATATCTGTACCATATCTGTATCTTTGCATGATTGTTTACCCAGGTGTCCCAGTCTGAGGATGTGGGGTCCACGGTGGCTGTCGAAAAAGCAGTGACTGGCGAGCAGGACAATTTCAGCGACATATCCGCTGTATTTGGAATGTCCCGACATCAGATTCTGGCTGCTCAGTTTGAGTGTTACTTGAAGATTATCCATGATCCGCCACACTCAGAGGAAGGTGATAAGATTGTGCCAGTTGTTCTGTTTATTCACAGTTCAGCTGGTAACAGTTGTCCAGCTGGAGCATACATCTCCCTGGTGGTATTAACACATTTTGTTCCCAGCAACAGTTTGCATTCAAGCACAGTGCTGAATCACACTTTCTCTGCAAATGTAATTAGCTTTACTACCAGCAAGGGAAAAAATTACAGGATATCCTTTTAAAATAAACCACTTTCATTGTGCTTATATAGCCCTGCCATTGACTTTATGGGCCCCTGTTTTAGCACTATTGTCGTGCTGTCTCTGTTGATAAGTGACTTTGGTTTAGACTGACATTTCTCTGAATTCTGTCTCAGCAACTATTTGATGAATGGCCATGAGATATTGTGCAGATCGATGTTCATGTTCCCCAGACGATGAAGCCATTGGTCTTTAACAGTGATGAGGCTGTTAACCAGGCATTCATTTCCAGGCATCCAAACCAAACAGTTTTGTTCAGAAAACATTTCTGATAAATCCCACCCTTGCATCACTTGCCGAAGTTTTGTTTTTCAAGTGTGGAATGTGCTCATTTTTTTGCCACTTGTGGTTGTTGTGGGGGAAAGCACCCGCTATAGGTGCTCAAGACCTCAAAGAGGAAGGATGAAGGGCTGACTGGTATGTACAGGTTAGGACATAAATATCTGTTTTTGCTCAGTGGTGTCAGGTCCGCTCGGCGCGCCCTGCCTCTCTTTCTTTTTTTCCTCTCCTGCTCTCCCTTTTTGCGGGATCAACGCCTCAGCTGTGTCGCATCGGGTTATTAGTGACTCGTGGGTCGGTGCGCACACCTGAGCATTGCGACATGTAATGGACAATACTTACCCTATGTAAGTGACAAAGGTTGTGTTTGACCCGCATATTTTTTTAGACGTGTGTAAGATGCTACGCTGACAGTCTCTGTGCGTTTTGGCTTGACCTTATCACGCTAATTATGCGGTTAGCAATACAGAAATACGAGCTTTGTCTTCCACACTGACAGTCTCTGCGCTGTGGATTGCATTGTTTACGTTGGTTCTTTTTGTTCACCTGTCCGTTCTCATCCTCCTGCTATCCTAGTTCCTGTCGTTAGTTTGTGTGTTTACCGTCCTGGTCTCCTTAGTCATCACTGCCCTTCCCTTGTTGTATGTATTATGGACCCTGTTTTGTTGTCATGTTGTTTTTATTCCATTAAATGTACTAGCACCTGGGTCAGCCATCTTGAGTCCAACCCCAGTTCTCCCTCACCCTCCAGGTGAGGGGGACTAAATCATAAGTGGCCACAGCTTGACCCATGGCCACTAAGCAGTCAGTGGTGTGAATAAAAGTGGGGCAGGCACCCAGATTTAATCCTGCTAGTCCAGTGATTGAAACAGCAAACATTCTGGTCTAACTTAGGCCACCACTACCACAATTTTAATCAATTCTTAAAATTTAGACAAGCTTTTCTGGTTGTGTAACCTATTAACATGTATGTTCATACACACACACACACAGACAGAGAGAGAGAGAGGAAGTGAGTCTGAAAGAAAGGAAACTTACCCTTTGTCTTTTTCCTTGTGCCTGTTACTCCTGCTCCATACTTCACTGTCTTTCAAATGTTATTTTGTGCAACTTGATTTTCTGGTTTCCGTCTATTGTTGACCATCTTTGTGCAGGCTAGCTGCATTTAGGTTAGATAAGTCTAACACGTTTGTGCTGTTAGTCTTACCCACGGGCACAGACATGCACATCTCCCATGTCTACTGTCTGCAACCTCTACAAGTTCAATGTCACATTTGTTATGCCCTCTGTAGGTACCTACTGTAACCGTACATGGGACGGCTGGCTGTGCTGGGGGGATTCAGCTCCAGGCGTTGTCATGCAGATGTGTCCTGATTACTTTCATGACTTTGACCCTGCTGGTGAGGCTTTATCACACACAAACACACACAGAGCTGACAAATTATATTTTCCTATTGTTTGTGCTGATACATATTTTTACTTTATCATATTTGAATAAATAGTCAATGTATAACCCCTGATTCTTGATTTTGAGAGTTCTACTAAGCCTTCAGCATCTTGACATCTCCTGTCACATTTTGACTTCATTTTCGACTGTGTGGAACATTGCAAAACATAAATTACAAAATGGAAAAGTTGTGCTCCCACAAACACCAGAACTCTGATAAAGAAACTGAATGTACAATGAGTTTGAAATCTGAAGTTACCTAAAGCAAACCAGGTATAAAGTGTAACATTGTCTCAAACAGAGAAGGTCACCAAAGTGTGTAATCCTGATGGCCAGTGGTTCCACCACCCAGAGAGCAACCGAATCTGGACTAACTACACCCAGTGTCAGACCTACACTGAAGACAAACTCAAGGTAAAACACAACGCAATGAAACTGCTCTGTATGAGAGGATTTCAAAGGGTTAATTATATTTACAACATTTAATTGGGTCTCTGTTAATTTGCTCTAAGGCCTCCTTCAAGCTGATTCATGCATAGTGACCACGAAGCTTTAAATAGGTTTAAATTGTTTTGGGTTTTTTTGGGCATTGTGTGGCGATGTAACCTGAACCACTGCACCAACTACAGGAAATGACACCAGAGGGTTTATGACAGACGCTGATATCTGATAGTCAGAACTTACACGTGTTGGGACAGCTAAGCATAGCAACATGAACCAAGGGCAAACTGCAGTCTGCACTCACTGACTCATGTGCTCTAAACTGGCATGGACACTTGAGAGAGTAAAACATAGCCAACAAGCTGGCTCCGCAACGCTTCGCCAATGTTGCAGTTCTGCAACTGGAATGAGATTCCTTTAAAATCCCCAGACTGTCAAAATCTCTACACAGAGAGGTTCACATGCTGCAATTTGCCTATAAATGGGCCATGTCATTGTATCAGTATGGAATAAATACCATGTTGTCCTCACTACTCTGAGCTGCAGTGTTCAAAATACTTATGCGCTTGTTGTTCATGTGGCATTGCTGGTTTTTCTTGTATAAACATGATCAAACACAGAGATGCCAAACTTTACTGTTTGCCTCACATGAAAACTCCCCCCTCCTCCCACCCTAAACTCTCTGAAAGTGTGGAACATACATACACTCTCAACACTTAACACACCAAACTACGTCTCAGTTCAGTTCTAATTTAAATGTACTACAACCCTTTTGGATGTTGACCTCTTCATTAATAATTAAGAGTTTGTTTTAATCCACCTGATATCTACAGTCTATACTTACCTAAACATGCAAATCATTTCCACTTGGAGGATGACAAATTGAATTCATGGCCTTTCAGGAAACAATTTTCCTTTGTTTTTCCACAAGGGTTTTCTTCTGTGTCCAGATGTTTCCTTCTGTGCTGCAAAGAGGTGACTGTGCTTACCGTACAGTGACTATGCAACTACTGTATCTGCTTCTTAATAAGTGTTTTATCTCATTTATCACAATTAAACACTTTCTTCCCGCAGTTCGCCATCAGTCTCTACTACCTGGCCATGGTGGGTCATGGTTTGTCTATTGTCTCCCTAATCACCTGTCTGATCATTTTCTCCTACTTCAAGTGAGTTAAGTGAGAGTTTTCTTTTGTTTGGTCTGAATAAACACTTATTTCCTGTAGAGTTCCAATAGAAGCTGCTTGTATGTAGTAGGCCAATGTACTGTATGGCAACAGTACTGACCTTTTATATCATAATCTCCTCTGGTATGTACGGTGTTTCTATTAATATGATCAGTGTGTTCTATCCCATATATAACTGACCAATAGTAAGCTGTGTGTCTGTGATTGTAATGGCATAGTTTGATCTAATTTCACATGAATCAACATGTTTATATGTCAGGCTATATGCAAAGTTTGTCAGAAACTTTTGTTAGCCATTATGACAGAAAATGAATGATATCATGTTTAATTTGATATTCAATAACTGTCACAGAATATTAGTATAAATGTTTAAAAAATAAAGTAACCATAACTGATAAACTGTTCCTTCTCTCTGCCTTTTAGGAGTCTTAGCTGCCAGAGAATCTCCCTGCACAAGAACATGTTTCTGTCCTTCATTTTAAACTCCATTGTTACTATCATGTGGCTCTCTCTCACTGTGGCCAATAACCAAGCCATAAATGCCAGCAACCCCGTGAGCCACTAAATTATATTTCAGCTCATTACACTGATAAATTTCAGTTAATTTGTACTCCCATGTTAAACATATCCTACACAGTTTTTACTTATAATATTTATGGGTTAAAATCTGCTTTTAATTTATCGTGACACATCTGAAACAAAGCTTTACTTTTTCATGTTGATCAGGTGAGCTGTAAGGTCCTGGCTGTGCTGACTCAATATACAAGCACTTCCAACTACTTCTGGATGCTGTGTGAAGGCATCTACCTCCACACACTAATCATAGTGGCTGTCTTTGTTGGAGAACAGCAGCTCTTCTGGTACTACATCCTGGGATGGGGTGAGTCAGAGGGATCTGACATTTCACCGCCAGTTCATAACCTTTGCTTGTGGTGTTTCCCTGTAAACTGCTTCCATCTTGTAGTCACATCAGTTTTAAACATTGCAGCTTATAATTGCAGATAGCCAGGAAGATTCTGAGGCAACATTAAAGTGCTGAGGATATGGTGGCAGCAGATTACGCAGATTATTATACTGTAAATTCTCTTACAACATAATTATAAGATAAATGAAGGAATTAAAACAGCTGCTTTACAGCTTCAGTTTGTGGGTGACACTGATTGTGACTGGCATTCGCTCACAGTGTAAATAATGTAAAAATAATAATACAAGAGATCTTTAATTTGGTTCAAATTGTCGAACATCAGTGCAAGGGGAAAAATACACTATGGATGGCTGCATGTGCCTGTGCTTAGATAAGTGGGTTTTTCATGAGAATCTCTCATCCAGACTTTCAGTTGCCTTAGCTTAACCATGAAGGCAAATTCAGCAGGTTCTTAATGCATAAGTGATGGATTTTTTTAATGTCTCTTCAAGGCCTACATCTTTTATATCTGTCCAGTAGCCATCCTATACATGTGGGCTGGCACATGTTCTGTGCGTCATACTATTAGCTATGCTTTTGATGCTGGGACAGTAACTGAAATCTTTGTGACTTCAGCTTTCCTGAACCACAAATATATACAGTATAACAACTTTTTGAGTAAAGTCATGTTAAAGGTATAGTTTAGAATTTTGAGAAATATACATACTCACTTTCTTCAGGTAGTAGCCCATTAGCTTAGCTTAGCTCTCCTTTGTTGAATCTATACAAAAAACCCCTGTAAAACCACAAATTGGAGTTTTTACATATGTGCTTTGTGCAGATTAAACAAATAAAATTGGTTAATTAATGACATATGCACTGCTAAATTAGAGTTGTTACCTCCTAACAGACCTAGGCTAGATGTACCTATGGTATGTTAACTGCCTCCTGATTCCAGCTTTAGAGGTGCTGCTAACTTCAGCTACAGCCAGGCTAACTGTTTGCAATCTTTTCATCTAAGTGTTGGCAAACAATGACTAATATTTCCCAAAATGTTGAAATATTCCTTAAACTTGGCTAAAATACTGTATAACTCAAACTCTTTTCTTTACATAAAACACTCTTGTGACTTAACTAGTACATTAAGAATAAGATGTACATGAAGATGTTGTGTTTCATTTAACATTATGCTTTAACATTGTGGTGCAGCTGCAGAAGCCTCTATAGAGATTCATGATGTTTGTATGATATTTTTGTCTGTATTTCTGTTGTTTGTCCTAAGGTTTTCCTTTTGTTCCTGCCATCATGTATGCTGTGGCTCGTGGGCTCTACTTTAATGACAAGTAAGAAGTTACTGCCAAGATAATTATCCAAACAGGTGTCACCAATGTAATTAAACATGTTGCATATTTACTGTACTGAAGTGTAGTTCAATATTGCAACATAACTACAGGCTGGAGTTTCACCTTCTCTTCCTTCCTGTGATCTTCTTTTATTCCATTTGATCACTTTGAAGGTGGGAGGATTTGACAGATATTGATTTGCCTCATCAAGTTGAATTTCAGTAAACGCTTTGTTCACTGAGTCTTGTCCTAAAAGTGAATGATTAAGGCTTTTTGATGTTGCTGTGCTTGTGAAACTTCACAGCCATGGTGTCACTTTTAATTTTTCTTGTGCTTTGTATTATTGACAGGTGTTGGATTAGTTCAAACACTCACCTGGTCTACATCATTCATGGGCCCATTCACGCTGCACTGCTTGTGAGTAACTTAAAAAGTATACCCATACCAGTCAGAAGTGTGGACACACATTCTCATTGAAGTGAATGGGAATAGCCCCTTACTTTATTTAAGATTACTGTAAAAATTGTCAGACACAAACTGACAGACACCTTCAAACCACTTTTCATATACTTAGTGATGACTAGTAGAATACTTTTACCTGAAACTTCTTATGCAACGGCACACAGTGATCTAAAGTACATAGTAAAATCATGTATATCATACTACACTACTGGCAGTCTGCTAGTAAGTTTCTAATCTTTGTGGTGCTTTCATTTTATTGTATCTATGTAACTTTGTAATGGTAGAACACAGAGAAGCATCTGTAGTTGTTGAAATTTTGGTGAAAATACCATAAGCTGCCTTCAAATTGAACATGTTCTTTTGATATTGAATTTTAGCATGGTATTTTGAGTTTTAAGCTCATAAGAATGCCAGGAAAATCACAGCAAAAGCTCATCTAAATGAAACTGTCCTTTCTCCATTTAATGTCAGAGTAACATGAAAAGAAGTTATAGAAAAAAAATCTTATTTGAAGGTGTTGTTATAGTGCCACCATCAGGCCAGTCATTGTCATTGATAATATGAAAAGATGTGCCTTCCATTCAGATTTAATCAGGTCGAGTACTGTACATCTTTCTCTTTCTTTCACCCACCTATCCATCTGGTTATCAATCTATTCAGGTGAACTTTTTCTTTCTCATGAACATTGTCCGAGTTCTGGTCACCAAGCTAAAGGAGACCCACTGCGCTGAGTCCACAACTTACATGAAGGCAGTGAGAGCCACACTCATCCTCATCCCTCTTCTTGGAGTCCAGTTCATCCTTTTCCCCTGGAGGCCAGAGGGACGCATCAGCCGTGCCATTTATGATTTCTTTGTACATATCTTCTGTCACTTCCAGGTACAGTCAACAACAAACTAAACATTACATTTGATCTAAGTGCTGATGCTGCTAACCTGTCACAGAGATTCATTTAAATTCTAAGTAAATTAGATTAACTCCTATGGTGAAATTAACTGTCACCAATTTTGCACCAATAAACTGCATTTTTTATGATAACATTTGATCTTGAAGTTCCAAACTGCAGGTGTTTGGCAGAGAAGCTTTCCGTGATAACATTATGTACCACTGAAATACCATTAAACCCGCCTTCATTAAGAAACAATGTAAAACTAAAGAGCACTCAACAATTTCCGCTACACTCCAGAGCGTGAGTGGGCCACTGTCTGCTCTTGAATTTATATCAACAAGTGCTCTCTTGCTTGTGGAAATCAAACATTCAGCTGAATCTTGTGATAGTCACTTTAATGTTCACAGCAACTAGACAGAAAGAGGCTATATCATGCTCCATGATTTTCAAATAAACCTAAATTTATATTTATTATTTACAGTATAAGCTCACTGACATCTGTTTCTGCACTGATATATAACCTGTCACATTACTTTGCAGGGACTCCTGGTGGCAATTATATTCTGTTTCTGCAATGCAGAGGTATATTAAAACTATCATATTGCATGTTTTAAAGATGCTATAAACTGCTTTAAGATGGAGACCATTTACAGTTTAATATTTGGTTTGATGCAGATCATGTAAAATGTGTTATATAAAATAGAATAGTACATATAATCTGTCTAACACTAGACTAAACTAAGCTCTAAAACTGAATCAACAATATAATGACATTTCTTAAAAAAAAAGAAATAAAGTATTGATTATCTATTTAACTTTATTTTGTCATTGTGGATGTACAGGCCCAGGCAGCCCTGCAGAGGAGGTGGGCTCAGTGGAAATTTGCCTGGGGCAAAACCAGCTGGGGAGCATCACCCATCACTAGCAGCCATTTCAACTACCACACCAACCGCTCCATCTCCGAAACCAGTCGCGCCACTATCAGCTCGGAGCAACATGCTCTTGCACCTTTTGAACAAAGCAGACACTTCCTCTCCGAGATCCCAAAGAAGGCCGGCAGGCAGCAAATTCAAAGCAACACGTGCAGCAACGGGGAGTTGGACACTCTCAACAAGATGGAGACCACTGACATATGACTGGATAAAGCATGGAGATGTGCCAAACAAATACACACTTACACATAAACGCAAAAAAGGCAGAAGACTAAAAAGCAGAGAGGTAGCCAGCGAGTTTTCAATATAAAGGTTAACTGATTGGACTGTGTCCAAAATATCTGAAGAGAGCGTAAAAAGTATGTGGTGTTCACATGCACATTTTTAAAGCAGCATTTCCACCTATTGAACTTGTATGAACTGATGAGAAAAACTCATTTATATCATGGTGTCATTCTGTAAAAATTAATAATAGTTTTTGCTGGAATTAAGTTCACTACCTATTTAAGTTAATGTTTGTTTTCTTAGTTTTTTAAGCATGTTCTTTAGGTCCATATCCCAAAGCTGCCACTTTGATATCACAAATGCTGAGCTGTGTGCTCGTGTGGCTTGCTGCCTTATGAACCCTTTGAATGCTTTACTTGTGCACTACTGTGACAAGTGAATGTCATAGTGATGTAATCAAACGTGTTCTTTTACATGCCTTTATTGAAGAAAGATAATGAACAACCTGCAGAAAAGAACTGAAACTACAACACACTGAGAGAAACACTGTTAACAGAAACACAACATAGTAATAATGATTCAGATTCATATAGGGTTTACTGGACTTTAAGTCAGACAAAGTAGCCAACATGCTTAAAGTTTTGAACATATTAATTCTGTAGGGCATGATGAACAAATGGACGAAACACAGTGACTGCATATTTGCTCAAAAATGAGTAAAAAGCAGAATACTTTATAATAACTTTTAGACATCTGACTATCTGGTGAGACAGCCACAGCTAACGAAAGCTTTATGAACAGACAAACACTTAGCAAAACAGATACAGTATATTTTATGTACAATATGTAAATAATGCAAATAAAGTTTTGGGGTAAAACAAAAATAAATGCAGGCACTGCAGCCTGGCTGTCGGTTACACTGTTTTCTGATTAAACATAATCTTTAAAGCTTTTTTCTGAGCTTCACTGCTTCTGTACTTATTATGACTGACTATGATATATAATAATGGTCATATTTTAAGTTTGGTTGGTAAAACCAATCCTTGACAGAAAAATGTATGTTCACTGTATTTGTTGATACAAATCTTTAGTTTGCAAAAACGATTAATTTACTTTTGTGGCAAATTAAAGAGACCTCAGTTGAAAGTAGAATGTACTATGTTGAAAGGCCATTTGACTTTCAGCTCATGTCACAGATAAAACGGATAAAACAGTGACCATTTATTTGAGCCGTGTGATTTATTTTGAGCCTGATCCACATCTAACTAATTCTCTTCCTGGAACTACACTGTTCACTCAACATTATGATTCAAACCTGGAGCTCAGCTTTGAGTACAGGACTTTTACTGATGCAGAGATAATGGAGCTCTGGAGTGAAACAATAATTTCACTCCCGCCTTAATCTTAGACCTTAATCTGATATGAGGCTTTGATCCAGTGAATATGTAGTTGTGCAGACAGAATAAGACTGTTGAAATAATGTATGAATTGTATTATTGTCTCCTCTTCAAGAGATTTTACATGGTGTTATTGCTCTAATTAAGTAGATGATGCTATAATGTGAGCCTCCTTCACTACAGCTATGTCCCATGTGATCTAGTCACTATAATAGTGTTCATGTTGCTTTGTTTGTTCTATGTTATTGTTGTTGTGGCTGTTAAAATGAACAGTTTACTGTATTATTGTGCTAGTGTTGTTATAATATGCATTTCTTTCTTTCTTTCTTTTTTCTAATTTACTGCCACTTTAATTTAATTGTTTTTCCATCGCACGTGTACTGTGCTGTGTGTACACTGACAGGCTACATTACCAGCACCTTTAGAGTTTCTACTGGAATACTAAGCAAGTCTTATGTTTGAAAGTGTAGATGTATGTTGGTGTTCTTTCAGGGTGTGTTCAAACAGAACGTACTGGCAATATGCTCCAGTGTGGATACAGCAGGTTACAGTGATGCATGGATAATAAACCAAACCTGTGGCAGGTAAACAGCAGAGTACTGTATGATGAGACACTGTTAAAGAGTGGCAATTCTGAACTTATTCTGCACAGGGGTGCAACCCTGTACATGTCCCAGTAGAGAAACATCTGTTGTGGACATGTTTTCAAAAAAATGTAATCAACATTCCAATAAAATATTACAAGAAATGTTCAATTCAAGTATATAACTGTATATATATATATTTTTCAACACTCATTTATGTGTGGAAATAAAGTTGTTTGAACATGAACCTGTGATATTCAGTGTTAATAGTATTCCATAGTGAAATAGTTTAATCTGTGCCAAAATGTGATATACCAAGGTTGATAAATGACTTGGGTGAAGTGCTGCACTCAAATAAAGGTCCTGTACCCAAGCACAGTTAGGGGATACTTGTAATGCTACATTTCAAGGGGAACTGTTCAGTGGTGCAAAAAGTGTTCACATCCTGCACTTAAGTAAAAGGAGAAAGGCCACAGTGTAAAATACTCTATTACAAGTAAAAGTCCTGCATTAAAAATGCTATTTAAGTAAAAATATGAAAGTGGTAGCATCAAAATATACTAAAATACTAAAGGTAACTAAGTTTCTGACAGGGGATCAATACATTCTTATGATTACTGTATTTTATTCTATTAATCTGATTGTGAAAAGTAAGTAAAGTAATAAAATAAATGTAGTGTAGTAAAAAGTACAGCATTTACCTCTGAAATTACAAAGTACAAAATAGCAGAAAATGAAAATAATCAAGTATAAGAACAGTAGCCTACTTGAGCAAATGTACTTAGTTACTTTCCAACACTGTAACTATTTGCCCTTTGTACTTCTTTCTCTTTTGTTTTTTTCCATCCATCCATTATCTTTACTGCTTATTACTGAACAGAGTGGCAGGGGGCTGGAGCCAAACCCAGCTGACACTGGGGTAGTGGCAGCGTACACGTGGACAGGTCGCCAGTCTGTCACAGGGCTGGCATAGACAAACAACCACACACACCCACAGTCTCTCCTCTGAGCAATTTAGAGTCACCAACCAATCTAAGCTAACCTATGTCTTTGGACTGTGGGAACCTGGAGCAAACCTATGCAGGCACAGGGAGAACATGCAGATTCCATACAGGAAGGCACCGGGTCGGCCAGGGTTTGAATCCTGTACCTTCTTGCTGTGAGGCGACACAGCAGCATAGCATATTTTTGTTGTTGTTGTTTGTTTTTTTCCAGATAATTTAATCCCAAACTACATTGTTTTATAGCTCTAGGGCAATTGCCTTTTGATTGTTGTGCTAGTTTTATCTTGCATGTGGAAGTAAAGGATGAGGTCCCACCGAGATTTGAACTCGGATCGCTGGATTCAAAGTCCAGAGTGCTAACCATTACACCATGGGACCAGATGGCACAGCGGTTTTGGCGCATTGACTTATGGTCTTTAAAAGACGTCTCTACAACCATTAACTTGTTTTGTTTACCAACATTACAGCTCAACGTTGTAACAACTAATCGACGACTGCTGTACGCTAACAGAGGAATTAGCTCGTTGTCGTTAATCCAGTCAATCAAAACTATTTTGAAGGTGAAATAACTAATGTTGACATTATGCACATTAATGAATGTAATAACTTTAAATTAGGATGAATGTCACGATAAGCAAAATGTAGGGCTGACAACATGATGAGATGTTTCAGCCCCTTTTCTCTTAAATCGTCGTTACTAATTGTTTTAAAATAGTGATCTATCTTGATAGTTGTGTATCTTTGGCTATAACCAGCGGCCAACATTTTAAAGAGTAAGGATTTGCATGTTTCTTAATAATTGTAAACGCGGTAGTGTTTTATCATAGAATGCCGCAAGGGGGCAGCAGAGGCTTTATTTATCTATCTATCTATCTATTTATCTATCCATGTCTGTCTGTATGGCTGTAAGCCTGGCCTATGCAGTCTATACATCCACCCATGGCTAAACAAAGTGGTGCTGTGTGAATATTTCAGCCTGAAGTTCCACAGTTTAGTATGTGCTAACAGGTTAATCCTGTCATGAAAATCCCCAACACATGAGCTGGCCACTCCCACTTGACCTGTGGCTCCTTTAGCACCATTAAAGACCAGGGTAGGTACATCCACACACAGGTGATCAGCACACACACAGTTAAGAATCTGGTTAATCTGTGTGGCGCTGGAATTTGGAAGCAAGAATGTGACACAAAGCAGCGCAGTGAGATGCAAGGCTGTTTATGTATAGATTATCATTAGTGGTATCTGACCTATACCCCATACACTGAAAAGTAGGTCAACCACAGGAAAAAAATTGATATTGCATAACTATTTGTAATTTGACACAGTGAGCTGAAACACGCGGTCTGGTATAAAAACATGATAACCGACCTCAGATGAACACATAAAATCATTCAATATACAAGTCTGTTGATATTTTAAAGTGTTGCGGTTTGAACAGAAAAAAATAAGAGTTCCAAGTGTGAATATACCATATAGATAAAAAATACAAACTGTTCTTTCATATAAGCATGTGCAGAAGGCAGGTCTGTGTTTTGCCCCCCACCAAATTTCTGTTGTCTAATTGGAGTTGACCCCAGACCCTCATGAGATAAGATGGACTGCGTGGAATGCTGCAGTGCATCACGTGCAGACACGTATGTGCACACAAACACAAGTCTGTCTGGTTTTCTGTTGACTTTTCCCTTCCTTATAGTACACTTTATAATTATTATTTGTCTAGGTGTATGTAGTATTAAGTACCATTTATTATAGTTTTATTTCATGCATAATTTTGTACAGGGTAGATATATTCTGCTGTGATACTTTCATTTCTCTGTGGGGTATAATAAAGTTTATCTTATGTGGTGCTTGATCAAGTGTTATGAGCTGCCTAGATTTTTACACATAATCAGTTAAAAGGTTAAATGTAATGTAAAAACAGCTCCTTACATCCTGAACGAGCCAGATAATTTTTTAAAGCTTTTTACAACAGGTTTACTGACATCTATAAATTTTACCATCAGAGTAATGTAGATTAGAGGAGATGATGAATTCCTGTGGTACTAAATACACAGAATATTGAATATAAAATTGATAACTTACAATTTTAATTAGACATACAACTGAGTTAATATTGTCTAAATGCAACCCAAAGACATAAACAATGAAAGTTCAACTTTTATTTCTTTGGTTTAAAAACTCATGCCTCCAATCTAAACATCTACATTTTAAGAATAATCTGCTGCTAGAAATTCAGTACAAGGAGGTTACCAAGAATGTGCTTTAAAAACCCATTTTCAATTCTTTTAAACATAGCATGGAGCAGACTAGAAATTGCACGAGCCTGACCATAATTACTCGAGAGAGCTTCAGTGAATGAAGAAATGTTTAAAGGCATCAAAAGAAATGTGAGTTTCATTAAGACTGAACTATTTTAAAGGGCTTTTAAATTCATGACGTCTGTCATTTCAGACCATTCACTTCCTAACACATTTAAATTTATCATGTCAAATTAGCTGAAATTAATTTGTGTGTAAGCTACCTTGAAAATTTTCAGCTAATCATTTGCCTATATTATAGCTGACTTATACCAGGTTAGAAGTAAATGTAATATAATAATAGCTCTGTTTCAGTAGCAGTAGCTAATAATTAGAATTGGACAATGACATTTGGTTCAAAGCACCTCTTAGGTCAAGTGGTGTTTTAGTAAAGGTAGTTTTAATCTTAGTTTAATATATTAGCATGCTGAAATTAGCTAATAAACACTAAGCACAACCCTGAGACTGATGGGAGTGTCAAGAGTATTTGTTCTAAATCATATGGAAATTCAGTAGTTGTTAAGATATTTCAGTGTGGATGAAAAGAGTGGATCCACCAACTGACCAGCTAACAGTGCCATCCAACGATCCATGCTGCTAGTGTAGCTAAAAAGCACCTATGAACTTTTTTTTATAAGACATTATGTAACTTAGTTAATTTGTCTAGAAAT